TAGCGGTGTACAGAAGAAGCGGCAGCTATTGGCCAGTTGGGGCGCGGACCGAACTGACCGAGTTTATTCTGACACGGGCCAAGGTAGGCCAAAGCAAATTCGACAGACTCGCGAAAGAGAACTTTAGACAAAGCGGACCAAGCCTAGTCGATAGAACAAGGGAGATCCAGCGGTCCAATCGTTGGGCCCATACGTACTTCGTTAGTCAAAACGTGCCATGCGAAACCAGGTGCTGGTGATGTGATGGAAGACATAAACCTACCTGATTGTCTGATATTCCTACAAATGAGAGTCGATGAGCGGTGGACGCCTACGAAAAGATTAGAAGCATGATACACCGGCCTCAATTCTACTCACCGAGCCGCGGCGTGCAAAATGCGGCAAGCAGGGTTGCCGGGCAGGCCATCATACCCTCCTACATGTGCCAAGGGAGATACTGAGTAAGTATCTAATACAATGAATGTCTTTAGATATATCACCGCAAACTTTGGAACTATTCCATGTCCAAATTAATTTTTGGCAGGGAAACATTTCATTTTTGCCGTTGTCTTTCCAGTTGGGGTACACATGCAGAATACATGCATGTCAGAGGGATGCGGACACCGAAGAGAGTAATACTAACGAAGCGGTAGTTGATCTTTCAGGTTCTTCATGTACATAGGTCACAAGCGAATTTTAGTTACCTCCTTTGGGAGTCTTTTCCCGTTCACATCTACGCGGAACAGGGTTCGGCATTGTAGACAGCAATCGTTTTTTGCCACAATAGTATGGGAATCTCCACACTGTCGCTCAATCTTTGAACCCAAAAGATAATGCGCAATATGTTCGTATCAGAAAAGGTGATGTTAGCCCTGGCTCGGCAGTTATCCACCGGCATGGAACAACACTATTCGCGTTGTCTGAGTCGACGTGGTTTCGGATCTGTCTCACTTGAGATTCTCGTGTTAACCCAAGTGTTCCCCCCGAACCGGTCAAATTAGGTAGAATGTGTACGTTGGCGACAGCCGAGGCTATATGTATTAAACACTTGACTCCCGAACAATGTGCCCAGAAACGTCTAATCCAATCTCTCCATCACCGCTGATTTGACGAATCCACTTCTGCATCTTGTCCACAAATACTACA